GCAACTTGCCTGTTCCCCTTCCCTCAATTCCCCAATAAAAATCTTTAAAAAAAAAAAAGGGTATCTGGGCAGTGCCACCCACCCACTATGATAGTTCCTGGTTCTTTCAGGGTCCAGGACTAACCAGGTCTATGTTACCTTCAGACACCTTCCTCCACCAACCCATTTAGTTCTGCTCCTTGACCTTCCAAGAGAAATTGTTCCATGCTCATTTTAGATGTATCTAGAGACCAACAGCGCTTTATCCCCCTGTCTCAATTAGAATGGATAAGCCAGAAAGGGGCGCCTTGCCTAAGATTTTTTAGAGTAATAGGCCATTATTTCTAAGAAGAAATCTTCCCTGGATGCCACTGACCTGGAGAGCTTTTCCAGTTTTCTCCTTCCTTTTAAAGCTTTGTGACCCGAGGTATTGGAGCCGGAGCGTTATGTAAGAAACTCCAAGCAAAGAGACTTGAACTCGACTTGAAGTCTTTCTTTAATATTCAATAAAAAGTTGGAGATTTATCGGCCTATGGCAGAGACCAATTTCCTGTGACATGGACCAGAGAGGAGATTAAAAAAAAGATTTTTAGAGCAGCACCCATATTTCTTAAGAGAGGCAAAGAACAGAGCTCACCTAATTTTGCAAATCGGGTGTCTGGCACCATTCTTTTCTCTAGGCTGAGCTGAAATTAGAAGGCTGGAACTAAAATCCTGCACTCTCCCCCACAGGGACCATTTCCATTTTCCTCTGAGTAACAGCCCCATAAGGATCGTCTTCACGGCTCTAAGGTCAAGGTTGGAAGTGGCTGAGTGTGGAAAAGATTGAAGACCGTGCCACAGGCTTTCAGTGATGCTCACTGGCATGCTTTATGCAGCCGGAGGAAGGAGAAGTAATTCCAGCAGGATTCTGAATTTAGAAGCTCTGCTGCAAAGGCCTGGGACAGGAAATATGGCAGCCAGTACTGCCAATAGGTTGGCACGATCTATCAATCCCCAAAGTGTCTCCAGCTCAGGGTCACTTTGTCTGAGTTTGGATACTGGCTCTGTGACCTTAGGCAAGTTACTTAACCTTTCTGGGCATCTGGTTCCTGGTCTGTAAAATATAGATACCTACAGTACCTACCTCATAGGGTAGAGGTGTAGGTAAAAGGAGATAACACATGCCAAGCTTTGAAACAATGTTGGCACATAATAAACACTCAAAATGCTATGTTATTACTCTGATTATATTTACCCATTGGAAAAAGAACTAAATCTGGTTCAAGCCTGGCAGGCTCCGAACTGATATATCGGAAGTAGCCTCAGTGGAATTAGAAAGCAAAGGATTCAACTCAACCAGGCAAATAGTTATGGAGCCTATGATGTGCAGGCTCTGAGTTAGACTCTCTGGATTTACATGTAAAGAAAATATGGGCCCTGCGCTGAAGAGGAGACAGCCACACAGAAAGCATGACACACACCCAATGCCACACTCGAAATTGTGTTCCACGTGGCACGGTAGCCCAGAACGGGGAGTAATTAAGCCTGCGTCGGACTGGTCTGCAAAGACATTCTACAAGGGTGATATTGGAACAGGGTTTTGAAAGATGGATAGGCGTTTGACAAGGTGCATAAAATGGGGAGAAATTCCAGGCAAGGTGATAGCAAGTGAAAAGGTACAGCTACCTGAAAGCACACAACATACGTGTAGCTACAAAACTTCACGCTTTCAGCAGGAATGTGGGCTTGTAGCAAGAAATTATAGGTAGATAAAAAGTATAACTATTGCACTGTGTTGTACAGCTGAAACTAATTCTAAAAAATGTGTATTTCATAATAAAAAATAATTTTTAAAAAAAGAAAGGAATTATAGGTAGAGAGGTAATTAGGGATAAGAGCAGGACAGGCCCTGAATGTCATGATAAGGAGTTTGAGCATCCGGCGAACAACAGGAACATAAGGCTATGTGTTACCTCCACACCCTCCATTTAGTTCTGTTCCTTGACTAATCAATATCACCAACCCTTTCTTGTGGCGCCAGGTCACATTTTCTTTTTTTTGGTGGTGGTGGGGGGGGGTGGGTAATGACTTTATTTTTTTTTTAATTTTTCTCTGCAATATTTATTTATGTATGTATGTATGTATGTATTTATGTTTATTTTTTTCAATTACAGGTGACATTCAAGGCCAGGTCATTCTATCATTTATGACACTTGCATTTGGCGTTGTCTGCACATCAGGTAGAGTGCCATTCACTGGGATGGCTTCATAACTAAGTAAGCCAGCATCTCTGTCTTGGAAAAGCTCAAAGTTGAGGAGGAAAGACATGCAATCAATGCACCCTATGGGGTCTCATGACACAGATAAGTGTGGGATTCTGTAGTAACAGAGCAGAAAGTCTGGCATGCGAAGGAAGAAAAGCAAAAGGGAGGGGAAAGAAAGGGAGGAAAGGGGAGGGGAGGGGAAGGGAGGGGAGGATGAACGAAAGAGAAGGACTACAGAGAAGAGACATTTGCATGGGATCTTAAGCATGAGTCACAGCTCCATCATCTTCAGATCATCACATGAGAACACGGTAAACAACAATCAAGGCCTGGGGAAGAACTTAGTTAACTGTCCGGAGATATGAAAAGGTTTCAGATGGCTGAAATGATGATGATGATGATGATGATGATGGCTGAAATTATTGAGTGTGAGTGTGTATAACGCTCCCTGTTCATTCAAGCGAAATACATCTCTCTCTGAAGCCCCAGCTTCCTTTAAGATCTCATTGGCCAGAACTGGGTCACATGCTCATTCCTCAACCAATGGCTGGCAAAGTGTAATGAGGTTTCTGATCCACCGTGGATCAGCCACCAGGAACGGAAGAGTTGTCCGTTTTCCCTGAACACATGCCTGCCCCGACTTCAACCAAATGAATGTTAACAGAGAAGAGGGGAGGAGGGTCGTCAGTAGGCAGCCAGGTGTCTCTACCATCCATTCTGATGACATCTCATTTGGGGAGTCCAGATAGAGTTGAGAAGAAGACCTAGCACAGATGCCTGAAGATGACCAATATTTGGAAATCGGAGAGGGGAGGTCTCAGCAAGGAAACCTGAGACTGAATAGACAACGAGGTAGGAACAAAATAAACAGGTTGTGGTGTCATGGAGACCCCAAGTGTGAAGAAGAAGGGATGTGAGAAGGACTGTCAATCACAAGAACGTATAAATAACTTTAAATGGCATGGAGTTTAAGGCAGTTCTATGTTCCAAGAGGATCAGGCAGAGGGTACAATGACAGATGAAGACCTAAGGGACAACTTCTGAATGGTAGAATTCCAAGCACGGAGGCGCCTGGCCAAGAATACTTTCCTTCCCAACGCAGCCATAGCGGCCTCCCCTTAACTCTGGCTCCAGCTGCTGCTGAGTCTGTCCCAGGAGGTCAGGCAGTAACAGGATTCAGGGAAAATGCTGCTCTGAGAAGCAGGGAGTTCATCTTTCTGGAGCAGGGAGAAGGCAGTCTCGTCTGGCAGTGAGGTGACAGGGTTCCAATGGATTTCCCTCTCCCAGATCAAAATGAAACGAGAGCCTGTCAGCCAACCCGCTGAACAGTCAATCTTCCCTCTTTATGGGTGTAGCTTTGACGTTATTGCAGGAGTCTAGCAGCAAATGAAAAGGAGATCATCCTGGAAGAATGTATGAATTCTCTTTCTAGGGGCTCAGAACATGCATCTGGGCTGGGGAGGTAACCTGTTGGACAGATAGACAAACAGAGAGGTGGAGAGTCCTCCCCATCAATCCTAGCCAGCCAAGACTCATGCCACCTACACCCTTAGAGACTTCCTTTGCCAGAGCCAACAGATTTTCTTGTGTGCTTATGGGAGTCGGAGTTGTTTTCTCACTCTGTTTCAAGATAGTCCTCTCTTTTACACTATCTCTGGCTTACTCTTTCTGAGCCTTGGTATTTTCCTTTGCAAAATGGAAAACAAATACCATCAGTCCCACCTCGCTCAAAACGCTGACATGAAATTGTTTTTGCAAAATGTCAAGTGTTATGAGGGTATAAGTCATTCCTGGAGACATGGCCCTGGTTATGTAGAGGACTACAGAACTCTTGACCCAGCCAAGTCTGCTCCTGGTCGTTGTTTCAGTAGATAACAGCACCCCGCTGCTGTATCTAAAAATCATGGAGTCATTTTTGATGCCTCTTATTCTCCCACATGCCATATGCAATCTCTCAGCAAATTCTATTTAGTCTAGCTTCAAAATATGTCCCTACATAGTATACTTCTTACCTCCTCCGCAATGACCATCATTGTTGGACAACCACAATAGCCACATAACTGTTCGCTCTGTTTCCACCTTGGCCGCCCTACCATCTCCTCCGCAAACTGCAGCCAAGGCAGGTGGTCCTTCTGAAATGAGAATCTGGTCATGTCACTCCCCTGCTCTCAAGACTCCAGTCGCTCCCATCGGATTTCATCAAACCAGGCTCCACCCCTTGTTCCTGGCATCCTTCAGGAACTTATTCAACTGTCTAAAGACATGGAAAGTTTGAGGATGGCCCTCTCCTTCGGTTCAGTCTGTTCCAGTTCCACGGGTCTGTCAGTTACTCTCTGAACATGCCAAGTAACTTCCTACCCCACAATCTTTGCATGTTTCCTCCCCTCTGATGGTAGCAATTCTCCCCCAGGTTTCAGCATGGTTCAGTCTTTCTCCATTCAGATGTCTGCCCAAGGGGTATCTCCTCAGTGACCAATTTCCTGATAGTCCTGTTCAAAGCAACACAGACGCATTTGGGCACCACACACAGACACACACCGCTTCCCCTATCACACAGACCCTTCGCCCTTCTTTGCTTTTCTTCCTCATTGAAGTTATCAGAACCTACCATTATATTACATATTTGTTTATCCTTTGATGTCTATCTCCCCCCTCCACAAAGTAAGGACAGGGAATGTTTCTCATATACCACACCTTCTCCAAATCGTAGAACAGTATCCTGGAATATAGTAGGAACTCAAGTATTTATTTATTTATTTATTTATTTATTTTTCGGTTTATCCATACTTAGCTTTATTCTCAATTAACCATCTAGCAAGAGTACAGATCCAAAGAGTAGAAAAAAATAAAGGAGCCCATCAAAAAAAGTTCCCTGGCACGTGAGACACAGGGCATGATGTTAGGAGCCCTGTTTAGGGAAGGAAATGTTGGCCATGTCATGGATGCCATTTTTGTCAATGATTCGAACACTGAAGGTTGGCAGATTCAGGATGAAGCGTTTCTGGATCTCCTCTAGACATTTCCTAAGAAGCCCCACTGCCCCCTCACGTGAGATAGTTGGCGTGTAGTATCGGTCCAGGATACTAAGAGTCAGGAAGGCACCATAGCCGTGGGCTGCAAAGGGGGCCTTGGCCAAGGCTGCCAGGTAGTCCATGTAGTAGAGCGCTGGGCCCTCGTGCTCGTCGTAGCCAGCCAGGAGGAGGTCAATGTGATACGGGGTCCGACTCCGAAGACAGTCAGCCAGGTTTCGGCGTGTGAAGTTAGCTGCTGCTGTGGGAGACAATTCATAACCATTTCGCGTCTTATAAAGTTGCACATTTTTCTGAATATATTCTGCAAACTGTACAGTGTCTCCAGCCTCTCCAACACATAGGAGTAAGATTTTTTTCACTCATCTTAAACATCTTGTCATGATCGTCCTTCATCTGGACAATGTTGCTGGCGGCCACCCGGTCGGAGGCGACAAGGACATAATCGGGGCCCTGAATGCCGATGAGGTATTCCATGATGGCGGGACGCCAGGGGTTGCAGGCTCGACAGACAACGGGACTCGCAGGCTTCTCAGCCTCACCCATGAGACAGCACTGCGGACCATTTCAAGTATTTATTGAATGAAAGAATGAATGAACAAACAAACGAACGGTGTTATTCCCCAACATTGACTAGCTTTAGAAAACTAAAATCCATATTGATATGTGAGTGTGTATGTACCTACATTTCTAATTTTAACTTTGCTCAGCTTAACTCAGATTCCACTAAGCCTGCTATTTCCATCAGAGGTGAAACCCTGACCTTCCTGGGAGAACCAAACAGTGCTCCAGTTTGGGCTGTGTTACTTCCCTCCCTACCCTGGGGGGTTGTTCTCCAACACCTGGTGGTAAAGGTTGACCCACTGTTCACTTTACTGGACAGATAGAAATCCTACCAGAATTCAGCTTATTTAGAAATCTGCTCCAGGTTGATACCTTGTGGTCCTACCCAAACATGGGAATGGCAGTGGGTTGAGTATGAATATGTAGGTTAGCAAAACGTGTGCTTGATAACACACAGGGCAGGAGGAAACAATCCAAACGTGTGTACCATCCGGCCATTTCATTCGAATGACCATGTAGCCAAAGTTAACCAAGGAAACGCGTGGTTCCACTTGGTTCACAAGGAAAATAAGAATTGCTGACGTCTTTAATGAGACCTTATTGTGTGACAGGCACTGTGGTAAGCATGTCACTTACCTTATCACCTAATTGAGGAAGGCAGCCATTTTCTAGGAACACGAGGGGGGAGAAGATCTATGATAACCTCCAGTGTCTTACGCCTGTCTTATGATTATTCAGACCTACCGCCCCAGCAACCTCACAAGGCATCTCATCTCAGGGTCCCACAGGCATCCCAAGTTCACCTTGCCCTGAAGGAATCCACCATTTTATTTCCCAGCCTCTCTTCTTGGGCTGCCCATGTCGGTTCATGGGATCACCAGGCACCAAAGCATCAATGGCGGGAAACAGGATGTCCCCTAGACTCTGCCTTCTCCCTCCTGCTTCCAATCCATTCTCTCTCGGAAATGGCAAGAAGATCAATCTCCTCGTCCCTGTTAATTCCGCCACTGCCTTTGGTGCCCATGCCTATGGGAGGATTAGCCATCCCTGTCTTGTTGAGCCCAGGAGGTGCCATAAAACCTGCTTTGGATTACGAGCAGAAGCATTGTGTGTGTCCCTCAGGCAGCACCTTTAAGAGCCAGTTTGTAACTCACTATGTCTATTTTTCCTTCTGCCACACAACTGAAATATTCCAGATCAAGAGGCTTCTCTCTCAGCCCAGATCTTAGAGTGAGGAAGGACTGGAGAAGAACCCCAGACAGCCTATAATGAAAATGTATTTTGAGTGAGAAAGCCTTGAAAGCCACCGAGGCTTGCAGGCTTGCTTGTTACTGCAGCAAAACCTAGCATATCGTGCCTGATACACTACCCTAATACATGGACCACAAGAGAGAAACCTGCCTTGAAAGCTACTGAGAGTTGCAGGTTTACTTGTTAACACAGCACAACCTAGCATATCCCGATTGATAAATTTCCTTAACAATATCTTACTTGGGCCGGCTGAGTGGCTCAGTTGGTTAAGAGTTGGCTTGGGAGCGCGAGCTCTGAGAAGCAGGGCTGCTGGTTCGGTTCCCATATGGGCCAGTGATGCTGTGCTCTCTATAGCTAAGATGGTGAACAACAGCTCGACCTGGAGCTGGGCTGCCATGAGTCGCTGGAGACAGCATAGGCTGCAGTGGGGCTGCAGTGGGCTGCCGTGAGCTACTGTGAGCGGCCGGCAGCCAGCAAGAGCTGCCGTGAGCCGCCGTGGACCACCATGAGCAGCCGTCCAATGGCCGGCGAGTGACTGCCTCAGCCGGTGAGAGCACAATGATCAAAATACCAACATGGACCAGTGAAGCGATGTCCTCCACAACTAGACTGAAGAACAAAAGGACACCAACTTGTCTGTTCCCCTTCCCCGATTCCCCAATGCTGTTCCCCTCCCCCAATTCCCCAATAAAATCTTTTTTAAAAACCCAATATCTTACTTGGATAACAAAAGTTTCCACCTAGATTTCTAAACTTCTTGGTCATCTTCTAAACCTGGAAGATGTGATAGTGATTTCTGTATTGTGATGACATCATTCTCTAATCCCTAACTTAGGCATTAGCAAACTTTTTCCTAAAGAGCCAGACAGTAAATATTTTAGGCTTTGCAAGCCATATGGTCACTATCACCATTACTCAACTCTGCTGTCGTAGTGTGAAAGCAGCCAAAGACAATAAATAAATCAATAAGTGTGGCCATGTGCCAATAAACTTTGTTTATGGACACTCAAATTTGAATTGCGTATCATTTCCACATGTCACAAAATATTATTCATCTTTGAGTTTTTTTTAACATTTAAACATGTGGAAACCATGCATAGAGCTACTGAGTTATTTTAAAATGGGCAGCAGCCTTGATGTGACCCTCAGGCTGGGTAGAGTTTGCTGACCCCTGGTCTAGCTGAAGGCCCCTGAGCCCTGAGCATGGCATTGAACGCCCTTCACAGTTTTGCCCCAATGGCTTACACACACACACACACACACACACACACACACACACACACACACACACACAGCTTTAATCTTCCTGAAGCTGTCATCATTCGCTGAATCTACCTTGGGTATCCTGAGGCCTTTGCCCATCCTGGTCCCTCTGCTATGAATCTATGAATGCCTTTCCTCTTCTTCCATACCAGGTAAGCTTTGATTAATCTAGCAAGCCTGCGTTCAAATGTCACATTCTTCATAAAAACTTTCCCAATGCCAGAGGCGGGTTTAGTTGCTCTTTCTGTGTTCCCATAGAACATGCATGTGGCTTATCATGGAGCCCATTAATATTCTGGACTAGGATTTTTCACCCTTGGTGTTCCTGGCATTAGGGGACAAATAATCCTTCGCTGTGGGGGGCTCTCTTGCACACTGCAGGCTGTTTAGCAACATCTCAAGCCTCGACCTAGCGGATGCTGGTAGCACATTCTCCCCAGTTGCAACAACAAAAAATGTCCCCAGATAATGCCAAATTCCCTTGTGTTCACACCCCCCACCCAATGAGAATCACTGCCCTAAATACTGACTTGGGCTTTTAAGCTGTTGGGTCTTGAGGACAAGAAATAGAGAGTTCTTTATTATCATCAGCCCTGGGTTAGCACAGAGCAGGCCTTCAGCAAATATTTGTTGAATGAAAAAAAAAAACGAATAAGACACTGAAAATCATTGACTCCATTAGCATTGATCTGAATAATTTTTTTAAAAATGTCATTCTAGTAATTCTGCAGTTACTGTTTTGCTTTTACCTTTGCAGAAAAGCCAGCTTTGTAAAAATCTCAGCATCCTAAAAGGATTTTCTAGTACATGTATTGTTTTATTTATGCTGCTCTCACAAGTGCAATTAACACTGCATCTGTTTTACTAACAATTCCCTTTCTTTTATGTAGTGGTTTATATTTCTCTGAATGTGCGCAGGCCTGGGCCTTCCACAATCTGCAAGTGGATAAATCGCTGCATATGGATGGGGAGAAAAAGACAAGCAGAAGTCTCGGGGCATTGTCTCCCTATTCTCTGGCATATCCCAGGCTAAACGTGCTAATTAGTTTACACATCCCACTGCCAGTAGATCAGAGAAGAGATAAGAGGAGATAATGTTGTCCAGTGAGAGCACTGTATTTGGGGGCTGTTGAATCTCCCCTTTCATTGGTGTTTGGGTAGTTCTTCCTCCTCACAGTCTAACACAATTCAGTAACATCCACACTGAAACCCAGTCAGTTGTAAGGATGTGTCTCATGGACTCTGAGGTCCCGCTCATCAAAAGGGATCAAACTTTAAGTCGCAAATATGTTCCTGTGCATTGTCCTAGGTTGGCCAAATTGATGCCAGGAAATATTCCCTTCTGGTTTGAATATTAAAGACGATAGGTGAGTGTTTGAATGAATATGAATGAGGGTTTTGCCTTTGAGTAAAGAAATCGTGAGGAACATGGGAGCCAGGTTGCCTGGGCTCCTTTCTCATCTGACTCTGCCATTTCCGGTGGGGAACCTTGGACATGCTTTGCAATGTCTGCACATAGTTTCCTCTTTGGTAAAACAGGAATAACAGTAGTACCTACATCCTAGGACTGTTATGAAGATTAAAAGATGCATACATGAAAAGTACTTAGTGAAGCACTTGGCACATACACACACAATAAATTCCTTCTATTACTAATAAGATCCCATGATTCTTGGCACAGTAAAAGCACTCGATTAATATTGGCTATTATTATATCAAGAGTTAAAATTGTTCTTTGGAGATCATTTGGTTCATACCTTTCCTTTAAGAGCTATGAGCCCTTAATCCCTACACCAAAAAAAAAAACGAAATAAAAAAAAATGTGTACCCAGAGATGCTGTGATAACCATCAACCAGATGAAAATAGAGACAAACTTGAACTTCCATGTTTTGAACACCTACCATGCACCAAGTTTTGTATTTTAGCTGTATATTGCTTCACCCAAATGTAAAACTCCATGAAGTCAGGGACCTTGCCTGCTTCATACGATAGAGTGAGATAACAGGATGACAGAGAAAATCATGGGATATTCGGTGAAAATAAAAATTGGGATCCCAGAGGTGGAGCCCTGACAGGGATGACAATTAGGCGAGTCTTACAGAAAAAATAGGCAAGAGAGAGAAGTATTGTGTGTGTGCACTCTATCTCGCTGCTTTTTTCAAAGCCCGAATCAACAAACCTTCCCTTTACCCACACACCCTGGGGGGATATGAGCAAAATATAAACATTAACATTGGAGATCATTTTTTATTAGTATGTCTTTACCTCTGCACCGAGGGGGAAATATACTTATCCCAAGCCTTAACGAAAGCTTGATTCCCAGCTTTGATGGGACGTTACCCATTTCTCCATGACTGGCCTGTTTTCATTATCTTCCCCTAGAGATCGAGCCTTGTCTGG